AACATGTGACATAATTAAATAAATTGCCTGCCGGCTTACATCATTACATAAAAGAGAAGGGGTTCTACCCTTCTCACAACAATGACGTTCCACCAACAAATAAAAGGCTCCATGGCCAACAAATAAAAGAAGATCCTCGATCTTGAACCACTTCTCAACATTCACCTGAAAAAAAAATTAACAATGTGGGATGAACATAAAATCCAATAGGGATCCCAACACGATCCTAAACAATAACAACTTACAGATAGCTATAATCATGAATGTTCAAACTCATACTATATAAATAATGTGATGATTTGTGCCAAAATATATTTACATAAGTACTTTTCCCAAAAATCATTCAATTCGTTCAATAATCTAGACGGTTCACATTTCCTTCTCGTTTTCTAAAAAAATATATATCATATAACAACCGTTTGCTTTTGAAATATAACCACAAAATCTGATTTCCTCATATTACTCACAACTCAATACGTAACCTATGTCCCATTCCAACACGTTCATCACATTTTCCGGCCTTAAGCCCAAGTTAAAGAGATACTTTCAACAATTAATTTGATATGCTTATATCTACACATAAATATCTAACAAGAAGATGAAAACAACAAACACCCAAAAACTATCTACTCAACATATAAGACAATCCGACCTTCCTGAAACATAACCATTATAACGCATTATATACATAGATACGTTGAGACAAATATGATTAACAAAACTTTGCTCTACCTGCCTTAAACACGGTAGGTCAAGGATATAACTTTCCACAACGAAATGCCAATTTACCAGACACCCATTGGAAGGTAATGGTACCTCTGCCAAGTTCTCCAGGCGCTAGTTGGAAGGTATTAGTACCTCTGGTTCTCAATGCAACCAATTCACCAAGCGCTAGCTGGAAGGTAATGGTATCTCTGATTCTTAGTGCAGTATACATTGCTAACCATCACAACAGGTCATGAGTACAAATAATACCAGTGAAATACATACACATAATCTATTCAACAAAAGTGTTGTCCTCCACCGATGATCAAAGACAACCTCTAAACTCATGTACTTAATACCCATGATAGAAAAATTCAATTCACATGAGACTTCAAGTCCAACATCAACAATAATAAAATAAAATATTCATAATCTAATCTCAAGCTCATTTCTAATGTTACAAAGTGTTATGATCTCTTTTTCTTTTCAAAAATTAGTTCTCTCATTTTTCAGATCACCATACTCCAATCTTTCTTCAAGATCCATTCTCTTCATTTCACAAAACTAATCCATGGATATCAAAGCCATAATCCAACTCAATCTATCATGATTAATCTGAAATAATTTCAATACTATGGTTAATTCTCCCGTTTTGTTGTTAGCACAATCACACAATCCATATTAACAAAATACAAATATTGTTCAATTTTACCCATTTTTGATTCACTAAGTCAAAATATTAAATTGGGGCATTTTATCTCTCTACATGAACATGTTAAACTACTCTCCAATTAATCCAAACAACAATCAATTTAGCAATTTCAACTTCACACATTCAAACCCTAGATCGCTTTTCATGATTTTCAAAGAAATCCATTATGGATATGATTTTTATGCAATAAATCTACCATATGTCTATCTATAGACGAAGTATTGAAAAGGAACAAAGAAATCCCTACCTCTTGAAGTGACAAGGAGAAAGTTGAAAAATCCATGGCGACGAAAACACGATCCGCTAAGATTAAAATGAAGCTCTCTATGTTTTGATCTATAGAACTATGGGTAGAAAGTGAGTAAAAATAAATGAAAACCAAGCTAGAAAGCTTGAAACCCATAAAATGGTGAAAGAGAAGAACAGAAGAGGGAAAAGAACAGAGAAAAGAGGACCAAGGTGCCTTTTTAAAGATGCTGACTTCGAACAGACCGCTGAAGCGGTGAAATCGTCGCTCGAGCAAACAACGTGAACTCCCAGAAGTTCAGACCAAACAAGGTAGACCACTCGAGTGAACAATCTTGCGCTCGAGCAAACTTCAGCAACAACTAGAATCACAGAGTTGTAAAAGTACTGGATGACACGCCAGACCGCTTGAACGACCAATCCATCGCTCGAGCGATGAAGAAAATCTTCAGAATGCTACAACCTCCCCATCTTAGGAAATTTCGTCGCCAAAATTAAAGATAAGGCCGAAACAAAGGCAACTCAATCACGACCGGAAGCATAACCACGAACTTTAAGTTGGATCCACACTTGGGATAAATTCCTGGATCCTCGATTCAACATTTTGGGGCCCCAAAGGCTCCTGAACAATGAAACTCAAGAAAAGATCATGGATGACTCCTCGACCCACACAACTCCTTGGGCCTATGAGACAAGAACAAAAACAACAACCACACGTATACCAAAAACATCACCCACGTGACAACCACCTCACACGCCCAACACCCCCGAGTGCTCAACACTCGAACATGAAGGAAAACTCACCACGGAGATCTTGGTTAACGTGAACAGAAGAAAAAAATAGCTTATAATAAAACACTACCAAGGGACCACGCCCCGGCACAACAAACCCCTAATAACAATGTAACATAATCTAATCCAGCGCTTAATCCACCAATAGCAATTTAAGGTAGAGTTAAGTCGTTACACAACATCCATCATCTCAAGTAAAACAAATAACAACAGAACTTTATAATTTTTTTTTTCTTGATTTCTTAACTCTTTAAAATCATTCTCTTGTACCTAAAATATTTCTCAAAAGATGCTCAAATTCGTACTGCCCATTTTCAAAATGCGCTTTCCATGTGAAAATCAAAAGTTTTGCAAACATTTCTCGAAAACAAGGTGTTACTCATAACACATAATCATCCACAATTAGCATACTTTCACCAATAACCTGTGTCTCCCTTCAATTGAAAAGTAAAGAGATCCTCAACCCTTCATCTTCGACTTTGAGCATATCAAGAGTCTTGGTAATCTATTCTAACCAATTTTTTCCCTCCAGCGGCTTTGTCTCCCCCAAAAACTCCAGTGGATTGGAGCAAAGAAACTCCTTAGTAAGTTTGAGGGTACGTCCGTTTGTCACCCTCGTTGCGAGCTAGAGCATCTTGCACTGCTCTCACAATCTCGCTTGCAACTTCCTCGCCGATAGGCGATGCAACAATGGTAGGTGCTAAAGGAATTGATGTGCCTCTACTGGCACTCATATTTCCAATTCGTCCTCTATTCCCTTGTGTAGACAAGGAAAAAAAAAAGAAAAACCAAACTTAGTGCACAACACAATAGCCTTTCCCGAGGCACACATTCACCCTCACTAGGCTACAAGACACACTTAGCCCCTAAACACAATTTTATTACATATAAACAATTAAACACTTAATCACATAATCGAATCAAGTCCACCAGATAACTACTCACCCCGGAACACTTAAGGAATTCTTATCAGAAACCATATTGATCAGGCGTATTTCCAATAAGACCTCAAAGTAAGCTCACCTGTTACAAGCACTATCCAGGAAATTTGACCCCATGCTCACATAAATGCAGCACATAAAGTCCTAAAACTTATCCTAACTGTTAAAATTCAATGTATAAAGAGAATTGTATTATTGATTGATATGTTATGTTTACAATGAGTCCTATATATAGAAGATTAGAGGAGGTAGGTATGTAGTAGGTGGAGTAGGTGAAGTGGGTGGAGTAGGTGTAGTGGTAGGTTTTAACAACCCCCCGCAAACTCAAGAGGGATAGGAACTAACCAACTTGAGTTTGGAGAGAGTAACAAAACAAGAAAATAGACTAATACATAAAATAAAAGAGGATAGGAGACACTGTATGGTTGTGTCAGACCGTTGGTGAAGACACTGGATGATTGTGTCATAACGTTGTGGAGGACACTGGATGGGTGTGTCATAACGTTGTAGAGGACACTGGATGGTTGTGTCATAACGTTGTAGAGGACACTGGATGGTTGTGGCAGACCGTTGTAACAGATAAAGTCTGGACAGTTGACGAGGTCACACCGGACCGATGGAGAAGATAACCGGAATCAATGTCGGGACAGTTTATGGGGTCATGTCGGACCGTTGTAAAATACACTGGATGATGGTGTATATAGGCTGCCCAAATATATATACATGGATATATATCGAGCCCTCAAAAGTCGCGCCCTCAAAAGGCGCGCCCACTTCATCAAAAGTCGTGCCCGACAGAAAGTGTCGAGCCATCAAAAGGTGAGCCGGAGACGCGGCGAGGCACGTGAACGACAGAGCGGCGTGTCGGCCGCGTCGTCAGTGTCGATATAAACCAATGCGGAGGCTGTGGAAACCAAACCAGGCTGAAACCTCTGAACATTGTCATTCTGAAACACTCTGTAAATACTCTGTATCCAACCCTTCTCTGAAACACTCAGCAACCCAAAACATGGCGTCCTCTTCCCGTGGTCTGCTCACTCTCTTTCCCGACCTCAATGAGTCCACAAGAGAGATAACTGGCGCGGTTGCCCGTGAACCTCAACCAAGCGCCCTTGAGTTTGCTCCGTTGACCTTTCCTATGCGGTCTGTGGAGCAAAGAATGGCAGCGCAATCAGACATTGAGGCGAATCAGTATACATTGAAGTCATGTGTGGAGACGATGATGGCAGTCACAAACTTGTCGCACCGGCTTCAGAGTAGGACAAATGAGGTGCAGCAGTTAAACGCCCAACTGGCTCTGCTCCAGCGCATGTATAAGGATGCGCGAGCAGAGATATGTGTGCTAAAAGCGGAAAACAAGGATCTGAAGCGGAAGGCCACCGTGATGTTCCGATTTGGAGGTCCACCATATGCTGTAGTGGAGGAGCAGGAGGGAGTGAACGTGCTCGGCGGCGCGGGAAACACAGAGGCAACACCGTCAAGGGCTGTCCAGGACGGAGGCAAGAAGAAGAGATCGGCGGCAGAGTAGAGAAGAAAAATCCCGCCTGTGGATGTGGTTGTTTTGTGTTTGTTTGTTTGTGTGTTTGGTTTTTATTTTTTTTTTGTGTAAAATTGTGATCAGGGCAAAGTCCCGATATGAATAAAATGAGTGTATTGTGCAAATCCGAATGGCTTGAAGGGACAAGACTGAGCAGAAAAAATAATGGAAAAAAGATTAAAAATAAAGGGAAAGAAAAATAAAAAAAAAAGAAAGAAATAATAAGGATATAGGTGACATCAAAACGAGAGATTGAGGGAAAAAAGAGAGTGGTGCACGTGGGTTTCTTGTCCCACGGTTTTGGTAAAACCTGCAATGGGTTTGGTATTTTTTTTTATTTTTTATTTTTTTATGTATTTATTTATTTATTTATTTATTTATTTTTTTTTGTGGAATAAAAGATAAAAAGTTGGGCGGTGGAAAATGTGATGATGGTGTTGGGTGGTGGAGAAAAGTTTAGAATAGAAAAGTTTATATAAAATTGGGGGTAGTGCTTTATAATAATGAAAATAAAGGTGAGGTAGTGGATGTGTTTGGGAACTGCGTGTGAAAGATATATTGAATATGTTAAAGAGAGTGCAGATTGGGGCTTGTGTAAGCCAGATTCCTTCAAATCCGCTGAATGTACCTCAAGGTCCATATTCCTACAATCATGATATGATACTAGCTTCACTGCATCACTAGCTGATTTTAGTAACGGTTTACTCACATTTGGTAAAGACATTCTCGTCAGGGAAGATACCCCAATTCCCACTTTCGGTACTGTTGGAAATTGAGCTGCCTTATCAGTGAGATCCATGCTTCTAGTTAAAGCATTGGAAGTCACCTTCCCACCAGTTCTGCTTGGCCATCTATGCTGATCTACTAGTCGAGCATGTAAACCATCAACTGGTTTAGAATTCTCAGATTGATCAGTGGCATTCATTCCTGTAAGAGGACTCCTCTTTCTCTCTAGCGTAGGCTTTCTTGAAACAGCCGGTGTTTCGAGGGTGTGAAGGAGGATCTCGCTCAAGACATCGTCATTGCCGGCGATTGCGTGGGCTAATGATGGCGGCGACCCTAGTCGGCTTTCGCGGGGTGTTCGAACCTTGGTAGATCGGCTATGGCAACACTTGCCGTGAGCGACGGAGGAGGAAGAGGTGTATGGAAGGAGAGAACCAACCCGAGAGAGGAGAGAAGAGGTTGGTATTGGTACTCGGAGGGTGTGGCGACCATGTTCCGAACTTACGGGGATAACTACCAGAGAGTGAAGTTGTGGACTTGGGACGATGAGTGGTCTGCGAACGAGCCAAGTGAAGGAGGGCCGATCTCGCCATCTCTGAATCTCAGAGCTCTTGACTAGTGAAAATGGTGCAGACATGGTGTTTGACGAAATGTCCCAGAGGGATTTTGGGTTTGCTTCGGCGAGGTGGTGAAGAAGAGTGAAGGTATGTGTAGAAAATTCTAGCGGACTAGGTTGAGGTCCGGCGGGCAGCTAAGGTGAGGTTGCCGCCCACCGGGGAAGCGAAAATACTAGGTTCTAAACCCGCTCTGATACCATGTTAAAATTCAATGTATAAAGAGAATTGTATTATTGATTGATATGTTATGTTTATAATGAGTCCTATATATAGAAGATTAGAGGAGGTAGGTATGTAGTAGGTGGAGTAGTATGTGGAGTAGGTGAAGTGGGTGGAGTAGGTGTAGTGGTAGGTTTTGGTAGGTTTTAACACTAACCACATGCAAACATCTTCACTAAGCATAGCAAACCCGTTGCAGTAAAAACCACTCCCTACGAGCCCAGAGTATTCAAACCCGGCTCGCTCTGATACCAAGTTGTAATGCTCCACTTTTATTTCACGGATAACCTTACCGAAACCATTATTATAATACAATTTCAGAGATAATGAATGAAAGCTCTATACATTTACAAGAATAAATAAAAGAAAGTTCTCTCATTCGAATACACAATGGATGCAACATGTGACATAATTAAATAAATTGTCCACAGGCTTACATCAGTACGTAATAGAGAAGGAGTTCTATACTTTTTACAATAATGGCATTTCGCCAACAAATAAAAGGCCCCATGGTCAACAGATAAAGAAAATCCTCAATCTTGAACCACTTCTCGACATTCACCTGAAAAAAGATTAGCAACGTGGGATAAACATAAAGTCTAGTAGGGATCCCAACACGATCCTAAAGAATAACAACTTATAGATAGCTGTGATCATGAATGCTCAAACTCATACTATATGAATAATGTGACGATTTGTACCAAAGTATATTTACATAAGTACTTTTCCCAAAAATCATTCAATTTGTTCAATAATATAGACGGTTCACATTTCCTTCTCGTTTTCCAAATATATATATATCATATAACAACCGTTTGCTTTCTAAATATAACCACAAAATTCGATTTCCTCGTATTACTTACAACTCAATACGTAACCTATGTCCGATTCCAACACGTTCATTATATTTTCCGACCTTAAGCCCAAGTTAAAGAGATACTTTCAACAATTAATTTGATACGCTTATATGTACACGTAAGCATCTAACACAAAGATGAAAACAACAAACACCAAACAACTAGCTACTCAACATATAAGATAACCTGGTCTTCCTTAAACATAACCATCATAACGCATTATACACATAGACACACTGAGACAAATATGATTAACAAAACTATGCTCTACCTGCCTTAAGCACGGCAAGCCAAGGATATAACTTTCCATAATGAAATGCCAATCTACTAGACACTCGTTGGAAGGTAATGGTACCTCTGGTTCTCAGCGTAATCAATTCTCCAACCGCTAGCTGAAAGGTAATGGTAGCTCAGATTCTGAGCGAAGTATACATTGCCAACCATCACAATAGGTCAAGCGTACAAATAATACCAGTGAAATACATACATATAATCTATTCAACAAAAGTGTCATCCTTCACCAATAACCGAGGACAAAAACCTCTAAACACGTGTACTTTGTACCTGTGATAAAATAATTCAATTCAAATGAGACTTTAAGTCCAACAAGAACAATAATAAAATAAAATATTCACAATCCAACCTGAAGTTCATTTCTAATTTTACAAAGTGTTATGACCTCTTTCTCTTTTCAAAACTCAGTTCTTTCATTTTTCAAATCACCATACCCCAATCTTTCTCCAGGATCCATTCTCTTCATTTAACAAAACTAATCCATGGATATCAAAGCCATAGTCCAACTCAATCTATCATGATTAATCCAAAATAATTTCAATACCATGGTTAATTCTCCCTTTTTGTTGTTAACACAATCACACAATCCATATTAACAAAATACAAATATTATTCAATGTTATCCCTTTTTGATTCACCAAGTCAAAATATTAAATTAGGGCCTCTCTCTCTCTCTCTCTCTCTACATAAACTTGTTAAACTACTCCCCAATTAAACCAAACAACAATCAATTTAACAATTTCAACTTCACACATTCAAACCCTAGATCCCCTTCATGATTTTCAAAGAAATCCATAATAGATATGATTTTTATGCAATAAATCTACCACGTCTATCTATAGACGAAGTATTGAAAATGAACAAAGAAATCGCTACCTCTTGAAGCAATAAGGAGAAAGCCGAAAAATCCACAGCAACAAAAACACGATCAGCTCAGATAAAAATGAAACTCTCGCGACCCTCTTCGTTTTGATCTATAGAACTATGGGTAGAAAGTGAGTAGAAATAGATGAAAACAAAGCTAGAATGCTTGAAACCCACAAAAATGGTAGAAGAGAAGAAGAGAGAGAAAAGAATGGAGAACAGTGGACCAAGATGTTTTTTTAAAGATGCTAACTTCAAACAGACCGCTCGAGAAACCGTTGCTTGAGCAAAGAACTCGAACTCCCAGAAGTTTAGACCGAACAAGGCGGACCGCTCGAGCGACCAATCTTGTGCTCAAGCAAACTTCAGCAATAACTAGAATTACAGACCTGCTAAAGTATTGGATGGCATGCCAGACCGCTTGAGCGACCAATCCATTGCTCGAGCAATGAAGAAAATCTTCAGAATGCTATAGAGGATGAGTGGGAAAGAGAAAGAGAGACCAAAAAACTGTGGTAGGATGAATTATAATTACGAATTTCCAAGATAATGTAATTATATGTAACGCCCCCCCCCTCCAAAAAGAAGATATTCTACTCCTGTACAATATCACTAACATGCAGATTACAACAACAATATGAATATATAACATTGTTTCCAACACATGCCTCAGTATATTCTTTTTCTTGTACAACATGAATCTTACCTGTAAAATATAAAACCAAATTATTTCAAGTTAATGCCTGAAAAGCTACAAATTTCTAAGGCCTTGCCCTGTTACAACAAATGAGTCACAACTCAATACAAAGAAGCCCGTGGCTTAAATTACAATAGATAACCAAGGAAAACAATAAATCCGAGCCTCAAGCTCCAAGATCCTCCCAAGTCATCACCTTGGCGGAGGCACACCGGTTCACCTGAACGTGGTTTCCCTCGTAGGGTGAGCATAAAGCCCAGTAGCAATAAACTTAATGACATGTATGAAGTTTAACAATGTCATAAGAAGAATGCACGTGAGGTGTCATAGTGAAACATGCATTTTCCCTCTTTGAAACAATGTAAAGTGAGATTTTCAAAACACCTTTCCAAATCAACAATATTCTTTCAAAACAATCAAGAGGTAAATAAAATGAATAAATTCCCTGGGCTAGTGTTCATAATAGTAACTATGAAAGTCACTATGCCATTTTTATTGGTATTGCCGGAAGGCTCGATACCTACCGTGCGGGTTTTATGTCTTACACCAAGGACACATAAGCCAACTTAATTCTGCTTTAATACGACCTCATAGCTTTGCCATTTTATTTACCCTTTCTGTAATACAATACATGCATCTCAAAACAACCATACATTTTCCGAAACATTGAAATCTCCAATTACAAATTCATGATACGCACAATGCAATGTATGATTTGTAAATATTTCCCTTCCCTAATTCCTATGCAGTTTCTACAACTATCAATACAACCCTCTATCGATTGCCAAAAAAACAATTATCTCTAATTAAAAGACAACAACAACAATAATATTCCAAAATCATAACCAAGTCGGAATCCCAATGATTTATACAAAATCTCATGATTTCCAAAACAACATTCACACTCTTCACAAGTCTTGTGAATCTCAACGAAAGTATGCAATTTTCCGAAACCTCGCATATGGTCTCCAACAAAATCACCATTTCAAAAGAGTAAATAACACTTGGTATTTTTCAATTATTCGAAACATTTTCCAACCAAACCTCATTTCAACTAAAATCCCACATCCATTCTAATTCCATCTTTTTCCATAAAAGCATCCAAAACCCTAGTTTTTTTTATTAACCTTTGAAAACCCATTAAACCAAATGTTTTCTTCAAAAATACATAACACAACCACTAGGTTACCAATCCGAAACCATAACTGAAAACAAGTATTTTCCCCCAAATTTGTGCATTAATAAATACATATCCAAATCTAACTTTTTGAAAACCCATAACTAACAAAAATAACATATAACGAAGCTAAACAACATGCACACCAGAAAGAAAATCCCTACCTTAATTAAGATTAGAAGACAAGAGAGAGCAAGGGTTGAAGTTGGAAGGAGCTGAAAATGAACTTTGCTTCGATTAGAAAGAAGCTCTCGACGAACTCCTATCTTTTTTCCAAAGGATAAAGGTGTAGAGATCAGGAATGAGGGTGTATTTGAAGTTTAAAGGTGTGTTTTAGAGAGAGAGGGGGTAGATCTAGGTTTTTGAAAGTTTTAGAGAGAGAGAGAGAGATGAAAAAGTGATCCAAAAAGTGACTTTTACGGATTGATATACGCGTAGATCACTCAAGCGTAGCAATGGTCGCTCGAGCGACCAGACACAAACGAAGACACCGCTCGAGCGCAAGAATGGTCGCTTGAGCACACCAGACACCCCTCCTAGTAGTTCAAACTTGTAAAAGTTCGCTCGAACTCAAGAAGTGTCGCTCGAGCACAGATATCAAATTCTTAGTAGTTTTGTAGACTGTAAAAGATTGCTCGAGCGCCAGAATCTTCGCTCGAGCGAACAAGCAAATTTTGGGCAAAAACTTCTTTGAAAAACGAACTCTCAACCTGTTTCAAATGCAACCGTAGTACTCAAACAATCCAATTCAACAAGGAATGAGATGAACAAGGACATGAACGACAATGAAGACAAGGAATCCCGAATCCAAAACAATAAATGGGTCGGGTTTAAACCAGAATCGTTATATTATACTTGACCGAAAGTATAATTTTTTGTAATTTTAGGAAATTCATTTATTTTATTTTTATCAATTGAATTATTATATATCTATTTGTTATATAATACTTAGGAAAAAACATTAATAGAAGAATATAAACCAGTAAATAAATAAATAAATAAAAATCGTATAACTCGTGCCATGTTTGGGATGTTATCTTTTTGATTAAAAAGTCAAGAAACTAAAGGGTGCTAAAATGTGTTTGG